GATGAGGGAAAATATACACCAAAAGGCTATCTCGATATAATAAGTCAAAATATAAACAAGTAGGTATATTAAAAGGAAACTGGAATGGCTATTGCCACAAGACAAGAAACTAAAGACTCTTGAACTTGGACTAGAAGCAAGAAAGGAGTTGACAAGAGTGAAGAAGCCTTCACTCTTGTCTCTTTATATACTATCTAACTAGGGGCTATGTGGCGACGTTCTATAGGACCTCCAATATGTGTTGACTTTGTAGGACACATGCCTTGACTTACAAGGCAAGTTTTTCTATGTGTGGGCCACATAGTTAGCTTGATCTTCAAGCTAACAACATGTGTGGCACATGGCCAACTTGTTGACCACGTTTCTAATCCAAAAAGTCAATTAAAGACACCTATGAAGTCAAAGCAGCGTCTAGGAAGTTTCTAGGAAGCTTCTATATTAAATATTGTAGAATTAACTTACTTTTATCTACTTTTACTTACTTCTACCTATTTCTATATGTAATTATTAGCTTACATGATTATGGCCGTGACACATGTTCTTCGAGGACGTCACGACTTTCCAACAGCATGACATTTAGGATACAACAAGACTTTGAAGCTTATATCTAGAGATTTTTGGTGGCCACAAATGTGAAAGGATGTGAAAGACTTTATTCAATCATGCGACATTTGTTCAAGATCAAAAACTCCTCGTCATCGACCTTAAGGACTTCTTCAACCATTATCTATACTAGAACAACCATGGTCTTTTATTTCTATGGATTTTATCACGGATCTTTCAATCTTAGGTTCTTATGAATCTATATTCATGATAGTAGATCATTTTACCAAGATGGCACATTTTATACTATGTACAAAATCTATCACAAGTAGAAAAACAACTAAACTCTTTCTTAAAAATATCTATTGCTATCATGAATTATCCAAGGATATTATATCCGATAAGAGAACTCGGTTTGTATCAAGATTTTGACAGACTCTTTTCAAGATTCTAAAAGTGGATATAAAACTATCTTCAGTATTCCATCTTCAAATTCATGGACAAATGAAGCATGTTAATTAAGTTTTGGAACAATATTTAAGATATACCATTAACTACCAACAAGATGATTGGACAATTCTTTTGACATTAGTAGAGTTTACTTATAATAATACAATATATTCTTCTATAAAACAAATACTTTTTTTTATCAATTATAATTATCATCCATAACTTGATATTTTTTACTTTTCAAAAGATGATAATCTTGTGGCAAAAGATTTGACAAATCATTTTTCAAAGCTACATGCAACAATGAAGGCACAATTAAAAGAAACTCAAGAACAACAAAAGATCAATGCAGATGTCCATTGAAAGGAACAACCACCATTCCACATGACTCATAAGGTATAGTTACTTTGTTGTAACATCAAGACCACTCATCTTTGTAATAAGTTGGACTATCGTAGGCTTGAACCATTTCCTATTTTTGTACAAATCAATCCAATTGCATATCGTTTATATCTACTAGAGTCAATGAAAATCCATCCAGTATTCTACATGTCTCTTTTTGAACCATACAAGATAATGGATATACCAAGAAGAAGACAAGCTCCACCTCCTTCTATAGAAGTGGACAATAATAAAGAATTTGTAGTGAAAGAAGACCTAGATTTAAGGAGGTACCAAAATAAATTGGAATATCTTTTCCATTGATACGGATATAATATTAGTAAATACACATGGGAGCCAGTAAAGAATCTTGCAAATGCAGCAAAGGCGATGGAGGTTTTTCATCAACATCTATCAAAATCAAGATAAAAACCTTTCATATAAATGAAACAAGATCTAGACAAGATAACATTCTACTTTCAATCTTTGTTTGTAGCTTCTTTATAATTGTGATGCTAAGGAGATGGAGAACCAACAACCAACGAATTTCACTAAAGAGCCTTCATTTGTTGACCTGTCGAATGAGACATTAGAATTGTTACAACCTTCAAGACAATGTAATTGAGATGAAGATCCTCAAAAACGACATATTTTTTCTCAAATAGATGGCGAGATACAACGCGTTTGGTATCACGACCTTGGAAGAGACCTTCGATGTTTAGTAATTTTATTAGAAGTAGGAACAAATCTTGATGGTGTTTCAAATATTTTATTTGAAGGAAGTTATGAAGGCCTCAACGATGATCAAATAACAAGGTAGTCTTTCTGCCCTTGTATGGGATACTATCAATGGTTGAGAGGCCCTATTAACCATCTTCAAAAATAACAAAGATCTCAATATGTAGCGAATACAATTTTTACATCATAGATTTTTTCAACAAATGATGACCGCTCCTTGTAGAACTTGTTCCTAGAAGGAAAGATAATGTCACGGACATATACATGTAAGCCAGTAATTACCTATATAAATAGGTATAAATAAGTAGAAGTAAGTAGAAGTAGATAAAAATAAGTTAATTCTATAATATCTTCTATACAAGCTTCCTAGAAGCTTTATAGACCGTACTTTGACTTTATAGGTGTCTATAATTGATTTTTTGGATTAAAAAAGTGATCAATAAGTTGGCCATGTGCCACACATGTTGTTAGCTTAAAGACCAAGCTAACTATGTGGCACATACGTAGAAAAATTTGCCTTGTAAATCAAGGCATGTATCCTACAAAGTCAACACATATTGAAGGTCCTATAGAACATTGTCATATAGCCTCTAGTTAGATAGTATATATAGAGACAAGAATGAAGCTCTCTTCACTCTTGTCAATTCCTTTCTTGCTCCTAGCTAAGTTTCAAGAGTCTCAAGTTTCCTTGTCTTTTGGCAATAAGCCATTCTAGTTTCTTTTTAATATATGTACTTCTTTATTTCTATTTTGTTACTCTTTCTTTGACATGGATTTCATTGGTTTATGCATCATCTTTTAGTTCATGTCCTTGACACTATGGAATTAGTGTTGAGAAATAGAAGACAAATGGACTAAGAATAGGAACTAGAAACAAGAAATTAGGAATGAAGGACTAAGAACAAGGGCTAGAGACAAGAGATGGACAAAATCAATCATGAGATCGCAAGCTGTATATTATTTTAATAACATTAAAGTATGGTTTTATCAACTCTCTCTCTCTCTCTCTCTCTCTCTCTCTCTCTATATATATATATATATATATATATATATATATATATATATATATTTTACAAAGATGTTGGTCATGCCACCATAATTTTTATTATTGCTACCACAACATACCATCTACTATATCTATCATAATTTTTGCTAATGTCATTACAAGCTACACTAAACTTATAATTAAACTAAATTGATATCAATTTCTATGCCATTTTTTATCATTTAAAAATTATAGTTTTGAAAGAAAAAAAGATTTTTTAAATTTAAAAATTAATTAAATTTTTGTTAAATTTTCAATCTAATTATAAAACCATAAAACTAAAATTATAAATTAATATCCATTTAAAATATAAGAAATTAAATTTTTACTAATTTTTTAAATTATAATGCTAATTATAAATACTTAATCTCTTTAAAATGATAACATAAATCATTTTTTTTAAGAGTAGTATTCAAAAGTGATTTAAAAATCAGTGTGATTCTTTATTTTATTTTTCTTTGTAAAAAAAAAAGTAAAATTTATAAAGCAAGTAACTTAATCTAATTTCAAAAAAAAAAGAAAACCAAGACAATTTGATAGTATACATATGTGCCTTAATTCTAAAATATTGTAATACATGACAAAAAACAACAAAAAAAGAAAAAATAAATAAAAAAATAAAAAAAGAGGTAAAAGAATGAATAAGTTGTCTTTAAATTATGTGAAACAATAACAAGTCATGAAGCAACCTTGGTTTTCCAATAAACCAATACGTCAGTAATTTATCATGCCCTCCATGTTTCCACTTATCTCTGACCAAAACACAAGCATTCTGTACTTAAACCAACAAGTCATCTTGTGCTTCATGCCATGCCACAACCTTAAGGTTTCCCATGCCAACGTTGGGGTCAATGATCAAATACATTAGAAGTAGAGCCACATTTTTAGTCTTCGAAATCGCTTGTGGTGTTTAAGCACCGTAGCTTGGGTGACCTCAGGTTGCCTTTAATGTATTGTGCCAGATCTTGTTCAAAAATTTACCTTTATTCTTTTTGCAATCAATCGTTGGTGTCAACGAATGCAATTAATCGTTGGTGTCAACGAATGCAATCCCTCTCCAGCATCCAGCGAGAGGTTCCAGAATGAAGACATTTCGGATGTCTGAAGCTGGCACAAAGATCACAGTAATCTTGTGCAAATCATGTCTTGCCATATCTCGCTTGTGTCAGAAAGTTTACACGCTGAGAATTTGCAATCTGCATTATCAACGTCGAGTCGATCGATTCTGGTGAAGCCACGTACAAGATTAAAACAATAATAATAATAAATAAAAAGATGCCTTATTACGTTGTTTCTGCAAATAGTTGACAGTGAAATCGGCCCCTGACTCCATGACAAGGACTGGTGGAATTAGAAATCCGTAATAGTGGGTGCACAACAATCACAGTACTGTAGGAGAAATGGATAATGCTGAATAACTTTGATCACATTCCCCAGTGGAAGCCTTCGTTTTTCGCATTCACCTTGGGGGCAACTGTTCGACATACAGGAGCAGGAGGAATGTTGGAATACTCTAGAAGGAATGATGAAAAAGTCGAAGTCAGTCGAGGCTCTTGTACGCAATTCCCCATGAACCTCAACCAATTATTATCGAATTTTGAGGTAGCTTCAGCTTAGTGAAATTGATGTGAGCAATGAAAGTATCGATTTACGCTAGTACCAAAGATGGAATCATTTTTCTTTCCATTCAAGCGCATCAGTAAAAGACGAATGATGGTCATCAGCAAAGCTCCTTCGCAAGTGAGTGAAGGCCAGTTCACGAGCATCCCCAAGCAAGTGGTCAAGTAGCTCAGTCGATCTGCATTTCGAGGAGATCGTGAGTAGAATTTGATATGCACAAATCTTGCGACCTTCTAATCCTCTCTCGAGTAGTATTCCATTCATATGAAGTGTTGAACCACTCACACACCATTAGTGTAATAAACATCGGTACCAGCTTTCAGAGAGGGCTACGCTCCAAACTGAAAGCTCTAAGTTCTTTCCTGCTAGAGATAGATGCCGCAACATAGAACTCTCCCCTTCAGATGAAATCAGCAAGCGTGCTGCAAGTGACATCCAGCGGAATGTTATCTTACAAGACAACTGATACTTCCTATTCATCCAGAAAATATTTGTAGCAAGACTTCACACTCCTATTGAATACTTTGGCACAAATTGAGGTGGAAACAACATCACAGCTTGAAAGCTGCATCATCGGCAGCACAATGTCAGAAGAGTTGCACTGTTGATCTCTCACACATGAGAAACTGGTTTCGTAACCCTCCATTGGTTTAGTAGCAGCAGGCAGTATTACTGAAGAGCAGTTTGAATTGCTCTGTTTCGCATTAGTACCACAGAGAGCCACTGCTTTAGATACAACAGGATTTGAGGAGATTTGCTCGCACAGTCCCTGCCCATGAGATTTTGGAGGAAGAGAGTGCCTTTCTTCATGTAGCGCAAGCTGGATTAAGGGCTGGCCAATAACGTGGGTCTTCTCCATCGCAGGTAAGTCTGAATCTTGTGTTCTCTGAACGAATACGTTGGTTTGACAGGATGCGGAGGTCATCAAAGGCTTGCTAAATTTTTCCCAAAGGGATGATGGCGTGCAGTCCAATGAATTAGACGAAGTGGTTGAATAGTCGGGTATTTGCCACAGTGCTCTTCCCAAAACCTCTGCCAAATCAGCAAAGATGCGATCTGCAAATTCGTACTCATATTGGTCATCATTTAGAACTCCATTAGCATTAGTATAAAGAACGGCTGTCAAGAAAAAACTTCGACCTGTTTCGACGTCGAAGACGTACCTGCAAGAAAGTGCAATTCAGCAACCCATAGTGGCATCTGTAACAAGTTCACTAAATCTCGCAAAGATCTAAGAGAAGACAACGAGGTGCCTGTGTGTAGGAAAAGAGATTTTTGGGTTTCATCTTTGCAGAACAAGAAGGTGCTTTTCCCTTTTCAGAAAGGTCGTAAACAATTCCTTGGAATACTTCTGGAATAGTCACGTCAAGCATCCAGTCACAAACAGAAATGGGAAGGATGTAAACAACATACGAATTATCTATTGTAAAGCCATAGGCTCTCCCGATTTTGTTGAATATGCGCAAGGCTCCCTTGGGTCTAATTCTTGAGAGACCTGGAAGAAAGAACTGAAATGCACCAGTATTGATTGATGTTTTATTCCCTAGACATCGCAACCAGTTCAAGAAGAAAATCATAACAGATCGAATAGTCACGTGATAACAGACGCACTGGAGGTAGATAATGCTAAAGGCTTACAGATACGGAAATACCTTGCAATAGTCATCAGGATAATCCGAACCATCGTACTTAGGATTTGCACTCTGAGATGGAAACTGGGCCATCGCCTCCATTAGAAACATACGCATGGCTGTGTCCAAACTTAAGCCTGACGAATCCGCCTTGGCAACCATACATTCACAATTAACTTACAATTTAATACATATTACGATACCTTCATGCAAACCAATAAGGCCTCTCTCGATCATTGTTATACACATAGAAAAAGAGAACTCCAGAAGATGCTGAAGTCAAATTACATCGAAATGTTTTAGATGGATTTTGGATTAAGTAGCTTTGAGGCTTTATGAATTCAGACTAAAAATAAAATTAGGTCACTTGAGGCTTTACCAATATGTCTGGTCGGACAAGTTTTATCAAAAGATCCTGTTGATCCATCAAACTCATGTAATTTTTCTTGGAGAAATCCATTGGCTCAGAAACCTGTGAAAGCAGAGTTGCCATAGATATTAACGCTCAAAATAGTTTGAAAAAAAAAAACAAAAAACAAAAAAATTTAAACACATACACACACACGCTTTTCTCCTGCATGCGAAATATAACGATACATTACCAGTTTCAGGATTTACCACACGGCCGTCATCTGCTACGTAAGCAGTCCCAACTTTTACTCCCGGTAGACCACTGTTATCTTGGAGAGCAAGTCCACTGCGTTTTGGTAGTAATGTGAGGGCAGTGACTGCTACATTTACATCAACAGGTTCACTGTAAAGGTTTGCAGCAATGGACCTAGTCTCAGAGAGCCGGTGATGCAGTCTTGTACTCTGCAAACCCAAGTTCCACCTTTCTCCAATAACATCAACGTGCAGAATTCATGATCAATCCAAATATTTTGTTTTCATTGAATGAAGTACTTTCTCGTGGTTGTAGTGGTCCATAAAAAAAGGAAGAAAGTTTCAGCACAGGCAGCAATATCCAATAGAGAGATCTGAAGCAAGCATAAAAACAAAAATAAACAAAAACTATTTAAATACTGCAATCTGTAGTGAAGAGTCAATCTGACACCGAGTACTGTATCTAATATTAAAAAAAATATTGTTTCAGCTGAATTTCTGACCTCTCGAATAACTCAAATTACTTCTTGTTGTTTCAAGCAAGTACCGCACATCTCATGCCTAATTTCATTCAAGCCTCGCGTGAAGCAGTAAACGCTTACATGGCTTCGTTGATTGTACGATGTCCGACGAAAGAAAAAAGCCGATTGAAGGCTTGGTTATCTGAAACCTGATACCCATCAAAAGAAAGACAAGTTGTCATAAAAACCATTCAAACTTCCGGCCATGATGCAAAGTCCAAAAGTGCGGCTATATGTGATTTCAAAAAGTACCAGAAAAATCTTGCGAATTTCATGAGCAACGGTTATTAGATTCTGGCTGTTGTTTGATGGGTCAGTGCGATCATCCTTAGTTCCCTCGAACAGCGAGCAAAGAGCTATTGGAGTACAGCAATCGACGTTTATTCCTGCATACAATAAACGCTGTTGGAAAATATATATCTTCAAACCACAATGTAGTCAAACGGAAGCGAACATTAGTCACAGATCCCTTTTTCCGACTCAGACTAAGTACTCAGCATAGTGTACTAGAATTCGACGATCCAGCCGCACAGAATAACTTATACGCATTCATATCGAACTGATTATCTCCCAACAGAAGTATTGAATGTCTAAAAAAATTGAAAATCAAAACAGCAGGAGTGAGGAATTTGATAACGAAAGACTACTATCAAGCAGCAACAAAAGGTAATAAGAAGATGAGAACCGAGTAAAGATTGAAGATGCTTGAGCTTTTGTAACGCTGTAACCGCAGCACACATTTTAATTGCACTGAAAGACCGCCCAGGAGATCCAATAAATATACAACCGTATACTAAAAAAAAAAACAAACACCGTGCTGCGAGCCCGCTAGCGAACACTGATGCAACCGCATCGGTCCAAAGCAGGGAAAAGAAAGAGAAATTCAATTGCACGCATTGACATGACATGCACAAAATATTTCATCAACTGTTCACCTCGCAGGGTAGAAATACTCCTCATCGACGCGGTAGCCATGGCGGACAAGGCGAGAGCGGCCATCGGGAGCGTCAACGGGAACTGACACCAGCACTTGGAGGCGGAAGTGAGAAGCATTGGACAGCACCTTTCCAAACATAGCAGGATGCTGCGAAAGCACGTCCTCGACAAACGAAGAGCCGCAATCTCCCCGTCGCAAGCTCTCCATACTCATCACCTCTCTTTTTCTCCCGCTTCCTCCCTTCCCTCCTGCCCCCCGCCGTTTACAAATCCAGTGCACATGCAACAAAGCAAACAATACTCGTCGTGCCAAATCAGCTCAACATTTCTCGACGACAAAACGAAGCGCTTGAAGAGTTGGTTCGATCATCATCGGACAAGGTGCAATGTAGCATCGAATTCTGGTTTCGATGCAACAACTTACACAGAACCGCAAAATTGTGTAGGAAAATTGCGTAGGAGGCAATGGATAAACAAGTCTCGCGCAGATGTAACAACTCACCGTGAAATTTGCTTTTAAGGTGAAGAGGAAAAGAAGATCGCGTGACCTACCTGCGACTTGAAGGCTTCAAAATACTCTCGGGAATCCATTCCACGAGGGTTGTTAGCAATGCTGCACAGAACTCTGCGATATTTCTCACGAAGCAAAAAGTGGGCAAAAAAACCAAAGAGTAAATATGTAAAAATGAAAAGTTGTGCTTTATCCGGGATAATACGACATGAATATTCCAGTTCTTAATTTCTAAAAAGAAATAGTTTTACGTGTGATAGTTGTTATTTTCTCATTTTATAATAGTTTAGTTTGTGACTATGTGCAAGAAAGATTTTAGTATTGTTTTCTTCACAACTATAGAACAAATAATGTACTGAATTGATTAGTATCTTACTTTGTGTTTTTTTTTAGGTATGTTAAGTAACTTCATTTAAGGTGTATTTGTGCACATACATACATACGTTTTTTTCTTTTTTCTTTTTTGTTTTATGGTTAACAACTACCAGATTATATCTAATTCAAAATTACATAACAAACTAATGTATTGATCAAATAATCTTAAATTTTTATGTCTCAAAATATGACCAGATAATTTCAATCACAATTATGTATATTTTGTGCTAAAGATAAAGAAATAGATAAATAAAGTATATCAAACAATCTCTGTATATCTCATAATAAATATAGTTCGATACAAGAAAACTTACACCATTTATAGTTAACTAAGCCACTATACTCTGCACAATTGTTTTTTTTTTAAAAAAAATATTTTTGAAAATATATGATAAAAATGATCACTTTTGTACCACCTTGCAAAATATTTGATATGTATCATTTTTTCCTTCTACAAGAATTCTTTAAAAAATAAAAATCAAAATAAAATAGAAATATAAAATTTTAAGTCTTTGTAATTTTTTGAATCTATTTTTATAAAATAACTACTTAAATATATAAATACATGTTTAATATACAATAAATTTATTAATAACTAACCTTTGCTTCAATGCCAATAATTTATTTAGTACTCTCTAGAAGAAAATAGAAGAAAAAATAAAATAAAATAAAATAAAAAATCCAAAGAATTTAGGATTCACAAATCAATCAAATCATGTAATTGTTTTGAACCACTACCATATCTTTTAGTAAGTCATGATTTTTCACTAATACCTTTAAATATAACATTTTTTTCACATTTTAGTCTTTTGTTGCCAAAAGTCATGTTTTTTCACACATGTCTGTGTATGAATACAAATCTATGTATATATATATATATATATATATATATATATACTACAAAAGTTTTGATTGTATTTTTAATGTAACAATGTTTTTAAAAAAGGATGCAAAACTAATGTGCTGTTTTCCAACTCCAAGTTTATTGAATGAAAAAAATACAAATGACACCCAGAATTGATAGTTTCTATTTTAAAATCATAATTGATTGATTTTTAAAAACATATTTTTCAAGATTATTTTACTTTCAGATTACTTGAGTTTTATATATTTTCAAAACTACAATCAGACAATTATCATATTAAACAATTTATTACAAAATTTTACTGATTAATTCCATCCTCAATAGATTTTCATATTCAAGGGATACATGATGCAATTCAACGCAAATCAGCAATTATAGAATACACCATGCAAAAACAGGAGTATTGTAAAACTGCACACAGCAAGGAAGTGGTTGCTTCTGTTGAAGACTTAGGCCATTCGAAAGTTCTTAAACTAGGTGGATACCCTCTCACTGGGACCATATCCAGAACGCAACATTCTAACCCACAAGCCCTGATGCAAATCTTTCACATCGACGAATATCTTTAACTTAGTTCGTCTGAGCCCAAAAGTAACCTAAAAAGGAAAAGTGAAAAAAAAGTTCCCTTCCTGGGAGCACCCACTTTCACTCATTTCATTGTTCACGATATCTTATGGGATTGACATTCAACGAGAACCATTTTATCTTGATGCATAAGGCTTTTAGCACTGTATTCTGCACTAATTGTCAACGTAACACTCTTTACCTGCCATTTAACTTAAGAGTACTAAAAGGGTCAAAGAGGAGGAAACTGAGTAGCCAGAATTTCCACAAATTAGTGTGGGCGGCGCTATTTGTTGCACAAGTATATCATAGGGCGTTGAAGCAGCTGATCTGAAATCTGTGGTCTTTACGCTCTTTCATCTGAATCTACCAAATCAGCAAAAACACTGTGAACTACGACGCATGTTCATGTTTCCGTAGAATTCAGATGGATAAGCCGAGCCATTGGAGAGGAAGGCATTGTCCCCAGAGCCAGAACTTCTAGTGCCTCGTATCGAATCCATAGCTCACAATTTTGCATTGAACACGAACAATTTTGTAGCAGATCGAGGAATTTGGGCAGCGACGCCAACGAGGTGCTTATTCTCGGACTACTTGTTTTTGAACCTTTTGCAACTTTTTTTATGGAGTTTTGAGGCGCAGTGGATAGTTCCTGCTGCATTTTGTTTTATGTTTGATTAGTTTCTGTTTGGTAGTGTTGTTGTGATTGTGTGCATGAATGTGAAGCTTTATTGTTATGGCGGTTTAGAGTGCTGAGGAACCGGGTGTGTTTTGTGTGTTTCGGTGCATTACAGAGAGATAATCCTTTTCGCAAAAGAGTAGTGAGTTAGCGAATTAGGTGAGAGTATGAAAATGAATATGCATACCTGCCATGCAACGACGGCGGGAGCGCTTGCTTCCGGCTCCGGAATGGGGGTCTGCAGGCTTGGGACGTGCCTTGGCAACCTAGGGTGGAGAGATTTGTCGACTACAAGCTTTGGCGAGCGGAATTTGAAGCTGAGAGTGGAGATTGGTAAAATACAACAGATTTCGGACAGGGAGAATGCTAGGGAATCGAGGAGGTTGGTCTGTAGCGCAGTAGGTGGCGGAAGGGATTTGTACCAACCTTTCCGACCTCCAATCAATATTGAGACACCGAGTGGCGCCACGACAGTCACGGAGCAGTTAGAGATTTTGAGAGAGCGACGCGGGTTGTGGTACGAATATGCCAGCCTCATTCCAATTCTGGTTCGGTCTGGTTACACCCCCTCCATGATTGAAGAAGAGACGGGAATGACTGGAGTGGAACAGAACATTATAGTGGTGGGATCGCAGGTACGTAACTCTCTCAAAGCCAACGGATTCGATGAGGAGATGCTTCGGACTTTTGATCTCGGCGGAGGCGAGCTGCTTTACGAGCTTCGAATTCTCTCTGCACAGCAGCGGAGAACTTCAGCGGAGTTTGTCATCGAGCGCAAAATGAGCCCAAAGGAAGCCTGTGAGCTTGCGCGCTCGGTTAAAGACTTTGAGAGACGGAAGAATTCCGAGGGTTACAAAGAATTTACATCCGCCCCTGGAGACTGCCTGGCGTTCGCCTTCTACCGCAAGAGCATAGAATGCCAGGACGAAGCAGAAATTGAAAAGAATCTCCAGAAGGGATTACAATTTTGCGTTTCGGACAAGGCCAAGGCCAAATTTCGGGATGCACTGAAGAAACTCGCCGGCAAAGCCGTCTCTGAGGAACTGGAGGAGGAGGGAAAAACTTTCCTGCAAGTAATTCGTCTTCTGGAGGGTGAGGCCGTCGGCACCAATCTTCCAGTCATGCTGCCCGTCGCTGACGCAACCCTAAAGTCGTTCGAAGATGTTCCATCTGTCCGACCACAGGGTGAGGGTCCATTCAATGTGTTCTCCATCAATGCCTGGACATCCTGGGTTGCGCTTCCGGGTTGGCATCCTATTGTCAGTGCTGGAGCTCCTGTGGCGGTTAACTTTCCTGATGCTGCTAAGCTTCCCTTGCAATCCAATAAAAATGGGGTTCCTAGGTTGCAAGAGCCCACTCTAATAATCGTAGACAAGTCAGACACGGAAGCTGACGATAACCAATGTTTGTACGTAGTGGCTCAGAAGGATAGCCAGGAGCTTTCAATCTCATCTGCCGGTAACGTTTTAGATAGCAGAGTTCTAGGGAGGGTGATCTTTGCCTTGAGACCCCCCGTCCCACCCTCTGAGGAAGCAGTGGAATGGGAGTAGAAAGTTATGGATTTCAGATATATTTCGAGTACCAAATTGTAGCTTCTCATATGTTCTAAGTACAATGGAGCAGGCTGCATTATATGTTACACTCTTTCATTTGGTGAGGAATGTGAGGTAGTCTACTTACCCTGCATGCACTCATTAGATATCGAAACTGACTCAGGGCTCATTGTTCAATTTTTGAATATCTTAGCACGCAATACTCGAATACGAGTGTGACAATATTCTATTCAACCGGTGATCCTAAGACATGCCCAGTTTTGAGATCATCGTAGGAGGGGATGCAAGCGCGAATTTCCCATTTCTAGATCCGCACTGTGCCAAGCTTAAACAAAGCATCTGAATATGACCAAATAGGGTATCCTTACTATATTATACTATGCGTGAGAAATTAGCGATGTAAGAAACACTAATTAGTTTCTTCAGTTGTTGAAAGTGGCTGTTTTGAATTCATCATTGCGTCTGCAGGTTCATCCTGCAACCAGAAGACATTTTCTGTAAGAAACGACCTGGAAATAACAGAGCTGTATACCCGACACCTAAGGGTGATTCCATCTACATTGTGTCCATTGTGTCACAGGACGGAAGGTAGCATAAGATACACGTGTTGATCCTAACACTAGTCCAGCAATTGACCTGAAGAGCTTTACGACATGTGCTAAACGCATACATCGACTATTGTGGTCCTTGTGGCATGATACAGAAACCATCTCAATAAAAATGAAGTAAAAATTGTACCAGCTTTGCTAATTTGGTGGCCGTAAGCTCTCGTTGCTGTTTCAAAGTGTTTCTCAAGTCTTGAAATTCCTGAGAGAAGTAAAAAGAATTTCAATACATCACTCGCTGGTATTCTCCTTGAAAACTAGTTACCTGACTTCCTGTCTAGAATCCCACCTACAGAGAAGCAGAGTAGACTTGAAAAGATCTTATCCATTAGAGACGCTAAACTAGTCAACCTATATTAGCTTGAAAATCACCGCGTCCCATTGACCAATCGGATGATGGATTATGAGAACTAATGCATAATAATGAAGTATCAAATGAGATCATATAACATCTTTGAGAGAAACTCATGCACGAAAGAACATGAACTTACAACTCGGAGTTGTTCAACCTCGGAGTTGAGAGCGCTGCGTAGATCTCCAAGTTCCTGAAAAGGTAACACACCCACAAATATGAAACTAGTGCTTGCATTATACATATCATCTTGGACTCGGGACCGTAAGACACATGCATTTTCACTATTTCGTAGTTGTATCTATTTCAAATGTTTGTCAATGTCACGTATTATTAAGTACTTTCCTTCAAAAATAAAACCCGACAATTGCGGCACGTAAAACAGATATTACGCATCAAGAGCTACAATAGAAATTTAATTTGATGGCGCGTTATGTTACAGTCTGCGGGCTGCTGGAGTTCTTCGGGCCTAAGTCTGAACAAAAGTTTCAGACAAAACCTTCGGAAATAATCACAACAGTTTGATCGAAACTCGTTTTAAGAAAACTGACCTCCCTGTACGACTTGACTTGAGTATCCAACTTCCCCCGCCAGTTCTCTAGATCCTGCCAAGCAATTGGTAGAATATCCAATTATTGAGCACCAGGCTTTTCATACATAGCTAATGGTATAAGTTTCCACTACTTTTAGTACTTCTTCGGCATGTAGAAGTGAACGAACATGTAGCCTAGATTAGAAACAAGCTCTAACTGTGATGATACTTCGGGGCACAGGGACACGATATGGTCCATATTCCGAGGCCAGTTTCAAAGCTTTCCTGTTCGCCTTTACCTTCTTCAGAGCTTGCACACGCTGTAGCAACTCATTCCTTGACTCATTTAGTCCTTTTGTCACCGGAAGCTCCTGAGAATCATCTCTTTGGTAAGGAGGATATTCATTAAGACCACTTTTCACATACTACGAGACACCGCAAGGTGGAAACATGAGAGGCACAACAGATGGCATCCTCCTGTAAATTAAGAAAGAGCATTCAACATAAAAACTACCGGCTACATATGATAGATGTTAAGGCGAGAACAAACGTATGAAAGAGAATGATCACTGGTTAAGTCAATTATGAGGATATAATTTCTCACAGTTGGAGCGGGCTCTTGCAATGGCCCCAAAGCTTCACTGTGATGACTTTCATCGACACTCATTTCCTTTGCTCCCATAGCCGCTGCGTCTCGTAAGCTTGTAACCATAGCGACTGCATTTGGTCCCGTGTTCAATGCCTCTGGCAGACGAGCGTCTACAGTATTTGGCTTGGACTGCGTATCCATAGCTTCAGGCAGGGTACCTTCAAGAGTCATGTCCTGTATACACAGGGGCATGTAATTATGAGCTGTAACTACAGCTATTTGTCACATAGTCATAAAAACTACAGCAATCGCTGTGTAACCACAGGTCCAGTTTTAGGGCAGCGTGGAGTATGGACATAATCAACGCGAATCGATGCTCAACTATGGCTGGAGAGCAACAAACATATTTTCAAACAGGTTTATGTTTTATATCATATTGGAATACCGCAACGACGGCTCACAATCACTTGAAGAGCAGTACAGTTATGCTCACATAGACTAGAAGAGGATCGAGCATACAAATCACCGAGTTCATTGCAAAAATCTAACTACACGAAACCTTAAAGCTGGACAGATGAGACATGACATCAGAATGATTAGATACAGGAATAGAGAACATAAAAAATTTTAACAAAAAATAAAAAATAAAAAAAGTGCGGAAGTCAAAGAAGCTTACATTCTTCTCTGGGGAGCTAGAAAGAGACGGGGAAGCACTAGAATCCGCCATGGATAAAGACCCGACACAGCAAGTGCTACTTACGCTCGATGATCTTTAAAGTGATGCGCAACCTACACGCTACAAAAATCCCCGCATGCGAAACGTAATCTCAGTCACAAGGATAGTACCAAGACCTCAAACATCCAACCTCCAACCCTAACCACATTAACAGCATCTTATCTCCAAAATATCTGGCTGAACGCATACAAGAGATATGCACTGACTCTACGGGCTCAACAGAATACCGCATCAGCATTAAGTACACTAAAAATCAGAAAAGACAACAATGCAGCAAAATGCGAGCACAAGCGCACCTCAGAGCTCCTCGAAAACGCATTACAAAACGATCGAATTTCAATCCGAGCAGAGGAAACATCGATTGTCGTGATGCTACGGTGTTAGTGGCTACAGATCCGATGCAATGGTGTGAGGGATCATTGAGGGGTTGCCCCAGATAATCCAGGGTCTTTTGGAATTTACCGATACAAGGCAAGGCTGTGGGAATGCGGTGCAGTAGAATTCAAAACTCTTTCGAAACGACGCAAGCAAAGATCTAGCTAAGGCGCCATGATTCCCAGGTAGGGGTTTGAACGCTATGGATGTAAAACCACTTTGTAGAGTCATCATAGTAGATGTTTCTCTTTACTACGTGAACGTTTTTCGTCGTCATGGATAGGGCCAGAAGTTCATCCCCTGCAGTCCAGAATAGCAATGCAAAACAATGATAAAAGGAAACACTAGCAAAATATTTTCGGTGCAATTTTTTTTAATGGCAGCATTCTACGATGTTTTGTGCAGAACTGAAGACTGTCATGGATAATTATTGTCATGAAATTTAGCATTTAAAAATAGTGGATTATGTAGACGTGTATATCTGTACTCGTGGGAATAATTATATGTACGCACTTATTTGTACAAATGTACATATACAGGAAACAACTTCTATAATTGTCATGGTAAATTTCTTTTTTTATAATAACTAAATTATTGACAAAAAAAATAATGATGTCTTTCATTTGCACGTTAGTATTACAATTGAATCGGCGTGGGGCGCGAAGGGGAGTGTGGTGATGCCCTAACGATGGGAACGGGGAAAGCCCTAATGGAAGGGAATGGGAACGGGGAAAGCCCTAATGGAAGGGAATGGGAACGGGGAAAGCCCTAATGGAAGGGAATGGGAACGGGGAAAGCCCTAATGGAAGGGAATGGGAACGGAGAAAGCCCTAATGGAAGGGAATGGGAACGGGAATGGAAAGGGAGGCTTCGGAGCCCATGCGAGGCGAGGCGTGTGCGAGTTTGTCCGGGTGGGTGGGTATATGTAGAGACAGAGAGTGAGGGATTGAGGTATCTGATTGTAGCGCGGGGGAGGGATGTTGGGGGTATGGTAGGAGTGGAGTGGAGTGGAGTGGAGGTGTTCTCACAGCGCAAGGCTGTGGGTGTTGCGGGTGGGTTTGTTTGTGTTTAGGGTTACTGTGGTTTGCGGTGAGTGGAGGCTTCTCTATCTGATCCTTGGTTAAGGCCGTGCCAAAGGATCCGTTCCCTGAAGCAATAGGACAAGGAGGAAGACGCCTAGGAAACGTGTTCCTTCTATGCGGCCTTCGCTATGCCGTGGTCGATGATTTTGGTTCGGCCGGGGTACGATGGGCTGTTGACAGCGTGTATGTAAAGTGTGAGGGAAGGTGTGGGGTTGGGAGGAGCAGATGATGAGAAAAAAGAATAGGGACATCTTAGAAGCCCTTCGGGGATGTGATGACGTATTCTATGGGAATCTCTATGATGCTATTGGGTGCGGGTGGAGGAGCAGAGGGTTGGATGTGAGGGTGAAGCGGCGCGGTGGGAGCCGTGTGTTTAGGGTTTAGGGTTTAGGTGAGGGGATCCCGGTGATGACGACTTTAGTTGACGAATCTGAGATTAAGGCCCAAGGGAAGGCGTGCGGAGCCGGCAGTGCGATGTATTATCGTAATGCTGGAAGAAGCTTGCCGGAGCTTGGCAGCCGCTGGCTTGCCAGATTCTCTGAAGCACACACGAGGCATTTGTCTGAGGGGATTGACGCATTGATTAGGAGTTTGGGCCATGATTCGCTGTCCGAAGTTGATTTCGAGTTTGCCAACAGAATTGCCACAGTGTTCGGTACAATTGAAGTAGTATGATTGAACAGGAAATGTAACAAACTAATAACCAAGTTGACATACAGGAAACACCCACCATTCTGTCAATTCAGATGCAGTGGGGTGCTACAATCGACGCATTGTTCGGAATCAAATCGGAATAATAACAAATTTATTAAAACAAGGTCAATTTATTGTTGAAATATGTTACGGTTCAGTGCAAGGCAACACCCTGTTCACACTGCTTGAATCTGTCAGTCTGATTAATTACCCTCTGATACACTCCCAACGTTACGTGTACACTGTTTCACGAAAGACAAATTATACATTCGATACTTTTTCAAATAAATAAATTTGGAAATGACAATCTGGTGTTGACAACTTCTCTCATTCTTAAACGAATAGTTTGTGTGACGGTGAAGAAATTGTTCTTTAAAATATATGCCCGTATATGATTGACGACCATTTCCAACCCATACAAATTATGTTTCACTGCAAAATAAGTTTGTAAGTGTAATGTCCTTTTCATTTGTGACTATGTCAAAATTCTGGACGTTGTATTCAAAAAACTTATTTAAATTACAAGGGAAAAATTGATAAATCAAGCAATTGAACCATAGCTTTGTTCCACTCTTTTCCAAGACTACTTCTTTCAATGTATTTGGTAAATTAAGGCTCTAGTTAATCTAAATAAGTCAAACGCAGGGAGAAACTGTGGTAGGAAAATACTTCACAAGACACAATTTAACTACGAAAATTGTAATGTTCGCTGTTCCTTTTTCAATCCTGGCTGATGACAAATCGCTTTAGCAAGTAAAAGAAATCACTTCAATTCCATTTTTAAATCGAACGGGATGTTGAATGTCAATGTGCTCTATTGTTGAATGATGCTTTGGATTCTTGGTAAAAACAAGGCATCCTTGATTGTCACACTTCATTGGAGTTGCTTCCAATTGCACAAATCCAATGTCTTCTAAAACTTGTCTTAGCCATTGTACCATGACTTGTTGCCATATATTCCGCCTCCATTGTAGACCTTGCAATTGTTGGTTGTCTCTTGCAATTCCATGAAATTGCTCCAACTCCAAAAAAACAATACATATTCCGTTGTTGATCTTCTATCATTTGCATCTCTAGCCCAATAAGCATCATAATATCCATGCTATGTAATACTATTATCTTCAAGGCATAATTTGAAGTTCAAAGTGCCTTTTAAATACGTCAAAATCCTCTTAATGGTTGCCCAATGAATTGGTCTAACCTTTGACATGTGTTGACTCACAACACTCACCGCATATGCAAGATCCACCCTTGTACCAACCATTGCATACATAAGTGAGCCTACTGCTGCTTTGTATGGAACATCTTTCATTTCTTCTTCAACTTCAGCAAATTCCTCATCCGTGAGCTTCATCAACTTCAAATTTGCCTCCAAAGGTGTTCCAATGGACTTGCACTCTTCCATGTTGAACCCTTTCAATACTTCTTCAATGTACTTCTTTTGGCTCAATGTAACGATCTTTCTCAAACTCCATTCCTGAGCAATAGTAGAGCTCTCCCAAATCACTCATTTCAAATTCTTTTGCTAGCTTTGTCTTCAACCAATCCATCTTTTTCAAAATATTGGTCAAGATGATCAAATCATCAACATAAAGAATAACAATCAGCAAGAAGGCTTTTGATTGCATTACATATATGGAATCATCAGCCTCACTCCTCGCAAATTCTTCATTCACAAATAAGGTGTGAATACGTTGATACCATGCCCTTGATGATTGCTTGAGTCCATACAAGGATTTCTTCAACTTACATACAAGGTGTTGTTTGCTTTCTTCAACAAATCATTGAGGTTGATCCATGTAGATGTCTTCTTTCAATTCTCCATTCAAGAAAGCCGTCTTCACATCCATTTGGTGCATTTCCAAGTCCATTGCTGCCTCAATTGCCATAATGGTTCTAATGGTGGTGAATTTGGCTATGGAAGCAAATGTCTCATTGAAATCAATACCAGTAACTTGTGAGTAACCTTTGGCAACCAATCTTTTTAATCTGTCAAGGACAAGAATATGATAAAAATAAATAAACAAATGAGACTTCTCTCAAAGAAAGATGATAAAATAGAAATAAATTGATATGTATAATAAGAAAGAAATTGGAATGGCTATTGCCAAAAGCCAAAGAAACTAGAGACCCTTGAAACTAGAAAGGAAGCAAGAAATGAATTGACAAGAGTGAAGAAGGCTTCACTTTTGTCTCTATATATACTATCTAACTAGGGACTACGTGGTGATGTTCTATAGGACCTCCAATTTGTGTTGAATTTATAGGACACATGCCTTGACTTACAAGGTAAGTTTTTCTATGTGTGGGCCACATAATTAGCTTGGTCTTCAAGCTAACAATATGTGTGGCACATGGCCAACTTATTGACCACGTTTTTAATCCAAAAAGACAATTAAAGACACCTATAAAGTCAAAACAATATCTATGAAGCTTCTAAGAAGCTTCAATAGCAAATATTATAGAATTAATTTACTTTTACCTACTTTTACTTACTTCTACGTATTTATACATGTAATTATTGGCTTACATGTGTATGTCCGTGACACCTTATACCTCACAACATTGCCCATTGCATCCCTCTTTGTTCTAAACACCTACTTAGAACCAATTGAAGCTCGATTTGGTGGAAGTTGAGTCAATTTCCATGTTCCATTGTCCATAAGGGATTTGTATTCTTCTTCCATAGCATTCTCCTACTTCATAGCATCCATGGACTTCATTGCATCACATAAATTCAATAGATCAGTAAGAAGTGCAACATTGGCATGTTCTTCACTTACTTGAAGAAAAATGTGGTCCTTCTACCATTCACCATGTTGTTTTCTATCTCTCAAAAGATATCTCCTTTCAGTTGAAGAAGTCTCCACTTCTTGCACTCTATGGTCACCTCCAACCTTCTTTTCTTTTGAAGATAGACTTTTCTCACTCAAAGATTCATAATTCTCATCACCATCATCATCAACATCTTCATGCTCTTCATTGCTCGTCTTAGCAATTGTAGAGGCTTTTTTGTCTACCTTCTTTGCCTCTTCATCTTCATTTCTACCTTTACAACCATCATTGTCTTTGTTTTCTTCCTTCTTTGCTGAATTTGAAGATGCATCCACAAACACACCATTACTCCTACTTGGACTCATCTGTAAGTCCTCACAAGCACTCTTGTGCTCTAAAAACTCAACATCACGACTTTTGATGATCTTTTTAGTCTCGAAACACATGAGCCTATAAGCCTTTGTACCTTCACAACATCCAACAAATACACATTTTTCACCTTTTGCATCAAATTTTGATCTCATACAATCTGGTATTTTTACATATGCTATGCATCCAAAAGTCCTCATGTGAGAAACACAAGGTTTTCTCCTACTCCAAGCTTCTTCTGGCATTATTGATGTAAGAGCACTTGTAGGACACCTATTTCTTGTGTACACTGCATTTACCACTGCTTCCACCCAAAACTCATGTCCAAGGTGTTATACATGAAGCATACTCCTTGCCATCTCTATAATGGTCTGATTTTTTCTTTCAGTAATTCTATTTTGTTGTGGAATGTAAGGAGTGGAGGTTTGTCTTGTAATATCATACATCTTCAAGAAATCATTAAATTACTTTGACATATACTCACCTCCATTGTCCGTACACAATACCTTGATTTTACATTCACATTGCTTCTCCATAAGTGCCTTAAATTCCTTAAACCATGTGAAATACTCACTCTTTGCTTTGAGGATGAAAATCCACACCTTCCTCGAAAAGTCATCAATGAATGTGACAAAATACCTTATACCTCCTATTGATGGCATCCTCATAGGTCCACAAACATCAGAATAGACAATCTCTAATAACTTGGTTTCACATGTTGCAACTCTCTTTGTTGTTTGCCTTGAATATAACTTTCACAAGCAAGTGTCATAGCATTGTGGCTTATATGACCAAGATCTAAGCCACTTACCATGGATTGGAGCTCCTTCATGCTCTTGGCATTCAAATGACCAAAGCATCGATGCGAAATGCCAAACTTGTCTTGATCTAAAGGAAATTCAGCAAATGCCACCACTTCAACTCCATTCACCTTCTTACACTTGATGAAGTAGAGGTTGCCATCTCTAAAGCCCTTTGCAATATGATCTCTTTCCAATGTCTTCACAAAACACCCATTCTTATCAAATTACACTTTACAACCATGTAAAATAAGTTTACTCACGAAGAGAAGGTTTTTCTTCAACTTTGGTACATGTAAGACGTCCTTTAATCTGATTCTCTTGGTTTGGCCTTTGACAACAATCTCTATAACAATGGAGCCCATTCCAATAGCTTGTAATATGCCATTGTCTCTCATGAGGATATTTGCTGTTGAAATCTCTTCATAAGTGTCAAATGAACACTTGTATGGAGTTATGTACTTGGTGGCACCAGAATCAATGATCTACTTGGACATGGCAGCCATGGAAGTACCTTCACTTGCCATGAATGCATAATCATCACCTCTATATTCATCACAAGCATTGTTTACACTTTCTCTATCTCTTTTCTTAGCCTTGTAGTAATTTTGAACAAAGTGACATAGTTTTCTACAAATGAAGCAAGTTCTCACATTGTCATGTTGATTAGA